GACGGCGGAGTGAGTTAACTGCCACGCAGAGGGAACTCCTTTATCCGCCCTTCCACCCTGCACAAACCTCAAGCAGGCTGACCTGATGAGGCAGATCCCTAGTTGCCCAGGCTCTCTGCGAGGCAGCTGCAGGGCATGACCAGGCTTGTGCCAAGCCCAGGTGCCAGAGAGGAAGTCCATCTCCCCACTCTCCCGGAACAACGCCCCAGCTCGGCGCCCTATCCCCCTCTGCACAGCTGAGCCCGGCCTTTCCCGCCCTGGCCCTGGGGGACCCACCTTCTCAGGAGGGCTGGGCTCCATCCCTCACCTCGCCATTAAGAGCAGAAGGGACCTGAGTGACCTGGGCCCAGCTGCGGCCCCTCACCCAGGCCCCTGAAGGTGTTCACGGCCCCCACCACCAGGAGTTAGGTCTCTCTGCCACTTGCCTTGGTTTTGCTTCTGTACGACGGGTGAACGGGCCTCAGGGCTCTTGTGACTGCAGACCCAGAGAGACAGAAACTTCTTCCATGTGCTGGGCTCTTGGTGGACTCTAAGCCCACACCACTCATACCCCACACATGGTTCCCTACTCTTCTCCCACACCCCTGCAATCCACGGGGCCGCAGTGGACCTAAACCACAAAGGCGCAGGCAGGTAGGTAGGTGAGTGGGGGAGAGGGTGGGCAGATAATCCAAAATAAATTATGAGGCTAACTTAATACGTGCCAGGCCCCACGTTAACCACCACGCACACCATCTCATGTAAACCCCTCAAGCCAGCAAGGAGCCATCTCCCTGCTCCCAGCCATGTTGCCGCGGCACGTAGCAGAGTCCAGGTTCAAACATAGGTCTGTCTCCAGAGTCCAACCAACTCCCGCCCAAGGCTGTGTTGACTGCAGGTAAACTAAATTTGACATATATCTAATTTAAGAAAATTCTAGAGAATCTAAAGCCTAAACTGTAGGTCCTGGTCAGCTGTTCTCATCACAAACCTACTGAATATGCCCAAGCATCTGATGACTCTCCACTGAGCTAAACACAAACACACCGTCATCATTCGCTGTGTTCCTGAAGAAGTAAGGGTCGAGTGGCATTTCTGTAACTACTTAAATGTCCTAAGGGGGATGCTCTTTAAACCACCCTACAGTGACTACTGTAAAGCAAAGGGCCAGCCCTAAGTGACCGTGTGGGGGCATCTGAGTGCAATAAAGGCAGAGCAGGAGACAGACCCGGGGGCAAGAATGACTGAGGCTGGAGCTGGCAGGGGCCCCACCCGAGGACACGTGCCCTTGTGCTGTGTACCAGGGTGGAGGAAGTGCTGGGAGCCCAAGGGAAATCAGGACTGGCCAGGCCTCTGGGCCGCGCTATAAAGGGGAGGGGAGCCGCAGCCCCAGTGCAGGCCATACACATGCATGCACGCACATGCACGTGTGCACACACACCTGTGCTCCCTCGGAACACATGCACCCCTGCTGCCGCTTCCACTACACGCAGGAGAGGGCGTGATCAGGTGAGCTGCCCAGGAGGCCCCACCCTCCTCTGGAGGGCAGGTGCGCCTTACCTGTCTGCCCACCCCCTTTCCTTTCCTAGGTCCTGCAGGAATGTTTACTCAGTTCACCCAACAGACTGTGGAGCCCTACTGTGTGCCAGGTACCTGGAAAGGGACCTAAGTCTGAAGAAAGGAAAAGAGGGAGCGAAGGAGGAAGAGAAGAGAACGGAAGCCATGTGTCCAGAGCGGGAGAGAGGCGGGGAAGGAAGGAGGCAGGAAGAAACGGTAAGAAGCGACATATTGACAGCAGTGTCTCCATCTGTTGTGTACGTGTGTGTGTGCACAATCATGCAGACACGCCTGTGTATGTGAGTTCCTGCTGGACATGAAGTGCTCCCAACATCCACCCTAGAGCAAGAGCACTGTTGTCCTGCAGCAGAAGAGACCTGAGCAGGACTATGGGGCATCGTGGCCGAGAGGCACTGCTCACTCTGTCCCCTTCATGCAGGAGGCAGTCTCAAGGGCACAGAAGCCAACTGCCCAGCCTGCCTGGGTTTCAGCCTCAACTCTACCGCTTACTAGCTGTGTGACTTCAGGCAAGTGACTTAACCTCTCTGAGCTTCAGTTTAGTCCTTAGTAAGATAGAATGATGAAATAATAGCGCCTACCTTATGAGGTACCTCTAAGACTTAACTAAGACAATGCACGTGGAGAGCACCCGGCAGACGGTCAGTGTTCGATGCATCCTGGCCGTTATGTTTCTGAGGCCAGAGGAGAGAAGGGGGGCGTCGAGATCAGGGGCCCAGTCTGGGGCTCTGGATTCTCCTCTGATTTGTATTTGGGGATCTGAGGAGACCCTTGGGATGTCTCGGTCCTCTCTTCTGCCCCTCGCCATCCCTCCCCACAGGAACGGCACCCACCTCCACGATCCCCTCTAAGCTCTTGGCCACCCCACTGCCCCCCTGCAAGGCCAGCCCGCTCCCTCTGCTGTGGCCACATTTACCAGCTGCCTCACCCGACCAGCCCCAGAGCTCAGTCCCCCAAAGCCTGCCTCTTCCCTGTGCCCACAAGCAGCCCCTGCTCTGCCCACCATATGGATGGTGGGTTGGGGGTGGTATCTGTGCACTCCCGGCCACAGCGTGGCTGCCGCAGCCCCTGCACGCAGTTCTGCACTCCACCCGCCCGACCCTGGGCTTGGGGTTACTCTCCTGTGAAAGGGCCTATCCACTGTCGCTTTCCTTTCCACCCCACCCACAAAATACGGCTCTGCGCCATTCCAGGTCCTGGGGAGTCACATGGAAGAAAGGGGCTGGGGCCCAGCCCTCCCGCGGAGCAGGGGGGACAGTGGGAACAGTCATTATCTACGCCAGCGGTGCTCAAACGTGGGTGTGCAACAGAAGCCCCTAGAGGGCTGGTTAAAACATGGGTCACTGGGCCCCGTCCCCAGAGTTTCTGACTCGGCAGGTCTGGGCTGGGGCTCGAGCTTTCCCTTTCCAACACCCTCCCAGGTGATGCTGAGGCCGTGGTTTGGGGATCTCGTTTTGAGAACTGCGTTTTGATCGCACTGTAATCCGTAATCCAAGGCAGACTAAAGCCTTTGAGGGCTTTGAGGCTTTGACCAGAGAGGAGGACAGAAAATTAGGGAAAGGGCCCCCCAGGCAGAGGGAGCGGCAGAAACAAAGGTCTGGCTGGGCTCTGCTGGGCAAGTAGTGGGGCTGGAGTGAAAGGCGCTTGGAGGCGTGGCAGGAGGAAGGCTGGATGGCACATGGGCCGGCGGTGGAGGGGCTGGTGGATGGCCACACCTCTTCCCTCTGGCTCATCAAACAGTCCCTTTGTGCCCCTGGCACCTCTGCCAGTCTCCCTGGGCTGCAGACCAAGCCTGTGTCTCCCGCTCTGCAGCACCCGGCACTCCTGCCCCAGGCCTGGCTTTCACGGCCTGCCCCGGTGGCTGTCAGCGTCTCTCCCCGCCCTCCCTGGGCGGCTCCCTGGAGCTGCTGGAGCCAGCCCAGAGGTGCCAGGGAGGTGTGCCAGGTGAGCCAGCATGCATGGTGTGGGCGTGGGCGGCCAGGGAGGAGGCCCGGCTGTGCCCCAGCCCTTGTCTCTCCAGATCGCTGCCATCTTTTGGCACGACCGCCTGCCTGCCAGCGTGTGAGTGTGCTCGCTCTATCAGCACCAGGATCTGGGGCTGGGTGTGTGTTTGTTGCCGCTTGAGCCGGAGCAGTTACTATGGGTAGATAATAATAGCAATCACAATCCCTCATAATTGGACCAGACTTTGCTGTCTGCAGGGCACTTCCATGCCCATGACCTCATCTGACTTCCACAACCGCCCTGTAAAACAGGCAAGGCTAGAGTCACTATCCCCTTTTTCCAGCTGAGCAAACACAAGCCCAGATGGCCTGAAGTCACATCTCCGGTAAGTGGCACACTCAGGACCGGGACCTGGGGTTTCTGACTCTGCAGCGCTCCTTCTCTGTCCTGAACCATCTCGATACAGGGCCCGACATGCTGCGTCCGTGAGCGGCGCTAGAGGCTCCACTGCCCAGGGCAGCAGCACGGGCGCAGAAGCACAGTCCAGTAACAGAAGGCCTTTGTCCCGGCTGTCCCACCTTCCCCACCTGTGGGGGGGTGGCTGACCGACAATTGCCGGTGCGTGGACAAGGAGCTGTGTCAGCATCTGCCGGGATATTGGACCCAGAGTAGGGGAGGCTCAGGGTCACCTAATCCAACAGAAAAACCAAGCTAGGCCCGAGGAGGTTAGGCAGGCAGCCATAGCCACCACTCAAGAGCACAGGTGGCCGCAGGGTCTGGTCTACATGCTGCCGGGGTCCTGAGCCGGAGCCACCCAGAGGCTGGCGGGATAACCTGGACTGTCAGTTCTTTTCCTGTGGGGTCAGAAAGGACCAAATGGAACAAGGGGTGGAAACACACTCTAAGAATGAGTGAGCCCAGCAAGGACACAAGCGTGCTCGAGGGACGGCTGCACACGTCCTGCTACTCCCAGACACCACCGAGTGGGAGGCGGGGACAGGAAATCGCCATCTCCAAGGTGTGCTGGTACCACCGGCCGAGCACTGGCGCGGGTACCTGCGTGTCTGTGTGACGACGCTCACGTGGCCTCATGTCTGCAGTGCGCCTGCACCCAACTTTTCTTTGGCCCCCAGAAGCTACTGAACACCTTGGGGAAGCAGAGGCGGCTAAAACAGAGAGCTAAAGTGACTCATCTGATGACTCACAGCTACTGAAAGGAGGATCCAGAAGGAACCCAGGTTTGGGGACTCTGTGAGGCAGATCCCCCACAACTGCACAGACCTGGGCTTTGAGCCTCTGCTCAGACATCATGGTGGCTAAAAGCTTGGGTGCTGGAGCCAACTTCCTGCTCCACGACCAGACCCTAAGCTCTCCAAGCCTCGGCTTCCTCATCGCCAAAACAGGGATGTGATGGTCCCACCACTCTGTGGTGAAGCTGTCTGTCATCACGAGGGGACAGGGCCCCTCCCTGGGTACTGGCCCAGCCCGAGTCCGCTGCTCACCTTTCGGTCCTCCTCCCGCTCTGCAGCAGAGCTGCTGGTGTCCCCGGGGCCACTGGAGGGCATGGCGGGCAGCTGGGCTGTGGGAGGCAGGCCGGGGCTGCGCGGGGCTGGGGGACTGCTGGGCTTTGGGGAAGGAATTATCGTGGTCTTTGTAGGCAAGAGTTAGAACTTAAACATAGATGCCAGTGTCGAGCCCGCTGGTGAACCGCCGCCTCCGTCTGCCTGTGCGCTGGGGCTCCGGATGGTTCCACCTGTGGGGAGAGAAGGGGGTCAGCGGGGCAGAGCACCCCGGGCCCCGCCCGCCCGTGAGGCTTGGCACCTCCCGGCCTCACCAGCACCCCAGGGTGCCGGACACCCGGGCAGCTCCCCGCAGGGCCGCCTCCTACCCCAGCAGCCTCTGAGACAGGCGGCAGCAGTCTCGGCCTCCGCAGCCTGCTGTGTCCTCCGGCCTCCTCCCTTCTCTTCATTCACTCTGTCCTTCCCTCTGAAAGCTTCCTGCACCCTCCCTCCCACTCCAGCAGCCCCTGGGAAATCCCTGCCTCCCCCAGAGGCCCCCAGCCTGCTACATTTTCCTTCTGATCTGCCCCCACCCTCACCCCCACCCCGCTCCGCCACGTGGAGGAAGTGAGCGGCAGTCACAGGATGTCATGAAATGAATGTCACCTCACTTCAGGACCAGTGAGCGCCTGGGCTGGGCCCGGGGAAGGCTGAGGTCTGTCTGAACTCAGGCTGCAGCCAGGCTGAAGGCCTGGTTTGCTCTGTTCTAGGGGAGGCCGCTCTCCCCCACCCCCTGAACCAGCCCCATTTGCCTGCAGAACTGGTGGGCTTGAGGGGGCCCTCCGAACCCACATGGCTGATTTAGGGGCTTTTCTTCCTCCCTGCTCCAGGTGTGGGCCTTGAGCCAGTGAAATAACAAAGCCCGTGCCTCGGGCCACAGCTGGGTGGGGTGCTGCTGCTTCAGCCCCCTACACTCAGAGACACACAGAGCGCCCCTGCTCCCCACCCCCCAGGAGGACACAGCCAGAGCCCCTGAGCCCCTGTCTCTCCCTCGAGTGCGCCAGGGCCCGGGAGGGGATTGGCAGCAGGAGGAAAGAGGGAGGCAGCCTGGATCTGGGCCCACCCACACCCTTCCCCTTCCAGTTCCCGGTTCTGCTTCCCTGGCTCCCCTCCCGCCAGCCTGGGCTTCTCCCATCCCCCTCCAGCCAGGGCTCCCTGGAAAACCAGGAACCGGAGAAAGCACGGGCTTGGGTTGCCCACGGGCCAACCCCTGCCCCAGGGGTGCACAGCTGCCTGGGCAGTGGGTGCCCCAGGCCTGGCCCTGCCCTGGGAGTAGAGGGAGGACACCGCAGCCAGGGCTGGAAGGGCTCCAGGTCAACCCAGGCAGGGCGGACGTGCTCCTGCCCCACAGGCGAGCCCCAAGGAAGCCCCAGGTGCACTGCATCTTATCCCCCCACCCCAGCTCAGCCCACGCTCAGTGAAGGTCTGGGTGAGAAGAGTAAGGCCAGAGGAGGTGCATGTGTCAGACACTGCTCAGCACGGGACTCAGGCTTGCACTGGGGCAGCTACTAGTACTCTTCCTAGTTCACAGTGCAATCTAGGCTCAAAAACGTTAGGACTTGTCAGAGGCTTGAACCCAGAGCTCCCCGACTCTAAAGCTATGAGGGGTTGGGCTCTCTATGGAGCTTCCCCCCGACCTCACACCACCCCACAGAAACAGCTCTAGTTCCGGTCCGACCCAGAACTCCATGCGGCTTCCACCCATTTTCAGCAGTGACTCCCCGTCAAGCCCCCCTCCCCATTTGTTACCACAAACATCTCTAATCACCCCCAAACCAAAACCTTCAAAAGGACGCAGAAGCTAGAGAGGCAGAGTCTGGTTGGAAAGAACATGATACCCGGAGCCAGCAGATGTGGGTTCTAAGTCTTGACTGGGGCTTCTCTGGCCCTCAGTCTCCTCATCAGGAAAATGCAGGAGCTGGGCTAGATGATCTACAAGACCTCTCCCAGCTCTGACCTGCCGAGCAAGCTGCTGAGATCCCAAGGGCAGCGGGGAGGGGCGAGGCAGCAGACACATGAGGGCCAGACAAGGGAGGGGCACCCCAAAATGGAGTCGGGGAGACCCAGGCACAAAGTAAGAGAAGTGCATCTCCACATTGCCCTGAGGCCTAGAGCCACCCAGGGAGTATCTGTGCCACCGGGGTGCTGTGAGAAGAACCCTTTCAGAGAACCTCTGGCTCCCAGCGGGGTGAGGAAGGAAGCGGGAGGGCAAAGCAGAACATCACAGGGCATTGACCCCCAAGGGCGGACACCCCGGAAAGGAAAGGAATATAGAGGAAACGTTTCTTCCTTCCTCTGTCCTCACAGAAAATGCAGCTGCCCTGGGTCAATCCTAGGTCCCTTCGTGTTGCTCAATGGACCAGCCCTGTCAGTAGATGTCCCTCAAAACCACCCTGCATCATCTAGAATCATCCAGTATGTGGCCGGGCAGGCCACACACTGCACGACTTTTGGGGGCCCTACTTGGTGGCCAAGGTCCCAGACCTTGACACGGCACTGCCCACCTGCCCAGTTCATTCTCCTCTCATGGGCCCACAGTCCCAGCAAAGCAGTGTGGTCCACCACGCTGGTCCTTCAGGCAACACTGGTCCTGCTGCCCCCAGCACCAAAGCACCCTCCCCACCCGGGCCGAGGGCTGCACCACAAAAACCACCATCACCAAAAAATCCTAGCCAAGAACACTACCACTACGACAGGCAGCTCTTATTTTCTCCTTTGTACTTTTAATGTCCACAGTGACCATAAATAATGTTTGTAACAACCACTTAAAAATATCTCAGGAGTCCCGTCATGCGAACATCTCGGTATCACAACCGATGGTGTCACCGTCATCACTGCTTCAGTTATAAAACTGTTGTGGAAAAAGAATTGAAATTTTGGAATATACACACCGAATTTCACTACCTTCTAAATTCAATCTAGTAAAAAGATTTTTTAAGAAGACATTAAAATCACAAGATTGGGCTGAACAAGAGCAGGGAAACCCCAACAATATTGTGGAATCTGGAAAGCGAATTGTGACGGCCAGATTGCAGACGGGAGTGCGGTAGCGGATTTTTAGCACGGCGTCCGTGACAGACGCCTGCTAGCACGGTAGCACCAGGCACCTGGGACTGGAGGTGAAGAGGATGTGTGTGAAAACCGAAGGCTGAATGAAAGCAGTGAAATCCCCAGGCCCACCACCCCCAGAAGTCGGGGGGAACAGTCTCTGGAGGGTATAAAATAAAGGTCTTTGCACAGAGGCAACTGGCACAGCTGAGCAAAGGCGATATATCAAAACCAAGGAGATGGAGATTAATGCTGACATGGAGTCCCTCCGGCTAATCCTCCACTGGGCTCCACAGCACCGGCAGCCAGACCCTTACCTTCTTCTCTGGAGAATCTAATCGGGCCAAGAGGAAAGGTTTAAGGATGGCAGTACTGACGCCAATACCAAAATGGCATCGAAATGGCTTGTTCAGGTCACCAATGTGGATTTGAAAGTCAACAAGTCCCACCTTATGCTCAGAGCTTCCAATCAGCTTTTTAGTCCCCTGTTCTTAACCCTGGAAGACAACCAAGGACCACCAGACATTCGAGGGAGGCCTCTAACTTGGAAGGCAGAGACCAGAACAAATCAAAACAAAACTTAACAAAAGCAACGTGGAGGAAACAGATTTTATGTACAGAGAAGGTACTATAGCCATGAAACGAGAATGTGATGCTCTTAAAAAAGAGCATCCAGAGAACCAAAAAGGACTCCTAGAAATAAAAATCATGTTAGTAGAAATGCAAAATTCAATGGACCGGGTACATTAAAAAGAAAAAAGATGGAAAACAGGAGAGGAAGGAAAACAGAATTAGAGAATTGGTCCAGAAGTTTCCACATCTGAATAATAGAAGTTACAGAAAGAGAAAACAGAGGGGAAAAAAATTACCAATGAAATAATTGAAGAGAATGTTCCAGAATTGAAAGACACATGTTGTCTGACTGAAAAGCCCCACTAAATGTCTAGCACAACAAATGAAAACAGACCCACACCAAGGCACGCCACTGTGAAATTTCAGAACACTAAGACAAAGATCCTCCAAGTTTCCAGAGAAGGAAAAAAAAAATGACATATAAAGGACCAGGAATCAGAATGGCTTTAGATTGCTCAACATCAATCTTGAAAGCAAGAAGATGACCAATATCCTCAAAATTCTTAAAAAATTAAACAAATCTTAAACAATTCTGCACTTAGAACTCTTTACCCAGCCAAATTATCATTTGTGTGTGAAAGGAGAATGAAGACATTTTCAGACATGAGGTCTCACGCTCCTTTCCCAGGAAGCAGGGGAAGATGTCCTCTAAGACTACGGTCCCCAACCCCCTGGACCATGGACCAGTACCAGTCCGTGGCCTGTTAGGAACTGGGCCACACAGCAGGAGGTGAGCGGCGGGCAAGCAAGCGAAGCTTGGAAGCGTCATCTGTATTTGCAGCTGTTCCCCATCGCCCACATCACCGCCTGAGCTCCGCCTCCCGTCACATCAGCAGCGGCATTAGATTCTCATAGGAGCGAATCCTACTGTAAACTGCGCGTGCGAGGGATCTAGGTTCCTTATGAGAATCCAATGCCTGATGATGTGAGGTGGAGCTGAGGCGGTGATGCTAGTGCTGGGGAGCGGCTGCAAATCCAGATTATCATTAGCAGAGCGGTTTGACAGTACAATAAATGTAATGCGCTTGAATCATCCTGAAACCATCCTATCCTCCCACACCCCCCACACCCCATCCATGGAAAAATTGTCTTCCGTGAAACCGGCCCCTTCTGCCAAAAAGATTGGGGACCGCTGCTTTAAGACACAGAAGACTCAGCATAGGAGAGAAGGGAACGGGGTCTCCAGAGTAAAGGTGAAAGGGGCTGCAGGACACCACCTGGCACGGGCCAGAGAGGGCCACCCTTCCCATCTAAGCAGTGTGGCTCGAGACTCGGGCATGATGAATGCTGCTGTCACTGTGGCCCCTGCCACTGAGCTGTCTTTTTAACTGACAAAAGTACAGGTATCATTCACTGCCGTCCTCTGCTCTCTGAATCCAAGAACCGAATGAATTCAGATGTGGATGGAAATCTATCCTGAACGATGTGCTCCAACTAGCGGGGCGAACCAAGCAAGAAAACACAAAAGCCAGAAGACAGGGACTTCAACTCGAAAGGAAAGGGAATTCCAAGG